ATTTAAAAGATCAGTCACTTACCCTCTACTCTAATGGAGCTTTTTTCTGTTTATATATATATATATATATATATATATATATATATATATATATATATATATATATAAAAAAAGTTAATTTTTTCTGGTGAGTTTTCCTCGTTAGTACATCAACATTAGGAATTTGAGCTAAGAACGAGATTGCTATCTAAGTTTCATCTTTTTACAGTTGAAATGGCAAGATGTAACTTTAGGTTTTATGCTAGCAGTTTTTTCTCTCGCATTTCCCCTTTTCCTTCCAGTTATCTCTGATTTTCAAAGATTTAAATGCAATGTCAATCGTTAAATTTTATTCTCTTCTTAATAATTGTATCTTTATTCACACATTCTTTCACACACTGTGGTCTTCTTGCGTTTTAGTGATTTCATTACCTTGATGGTGTAACTAATTAAAATGTAAATTTTACCTTTATTTTCAATTATATCCCATACCCACCTGGTTGATCAGAAAAAGCGTTCAATTAGAATGAAGCAAAAACAGCATCATGTAACAGAGTCTATCTTCTTCATTTACTTCATTTTCATTAAAACAAAACATTTTGAATTGAGGCAGTTACTGATATAATAGAAGTAGTCTGTATTTATTCAATCGAAGTTAGCTGAGGACATGAAGGGGTTAAACAGGCAACATGAAGAACCACTTCAGACCAAAATTATTTTGAAGTTTTGGAAATTAAATTTATTAGTGTGCTACCAAACTGGTTAAATGTATAAAGTAATTGTTAAGCTTGATGAAAATTGGTTGAAAGATCAAAGGAAAATAAGAGACCAATAAAAATCTCCATTTTCACTATTTATGCAGGATTTCACTGTATGGATGGACTCAGTTATCAAGTTAAATGACTGCAAAACAATCAACTTATTGTTGGCTACAATTGAGTGAAGTTTGTATTAGATTGCTTGGAAATTGACGGAATTTTTAGGTTAAAATTTGTGTTGAAATAGATTTGTGTTGAAATCGATTTTTGTTTTTTGTTGTTTTTGCTAAACGCAGTCGCGTAGAAATAAAAATGAGTTATCGCTGAGCTCGTATTGATGTAAGTAACCAACAAAGAGTGTGAGAATGAAATCGGGGGAAAAAGATTAATTTATCAATATTTGATCGGCTTTATCGATTATTGATTTTTAAAAATTGTCGTTTTCTATGCTAAGCACCTATCTCATACATTGTACAATGTATATGCCAAGTTTGGTCAAAATCGGTTGGATAGATCACGAGAGAAAAGATATCTCACAGACAGACACACAAGCACATAGACATCCTCTGTTTTATATATATATAAATACATAGCATAACGAAACGAGCGTTTAGAACAAATATTAACTTCGAAATTGTGACAAAATGTTTTAAATTTTGGGTTTTTCACTTAACGTGAAAGAATTACATTAAATTGTCCAGAAAAATGTCATTTAGTAGAAACTAGAAATTTTGAAATTGTTGGAATTGTTTACCAGAAAAAAATTACTCGACGATAAAAATGGCCTATCTATTTTATTTTTTTTATTCCTTACGTCTATCTCCATGTAACTGGGATAGGCGGGTGCAAGAGGAGGACAACACGCAAAAAACAGTCTGTCCACCTTATGTGAAGGGGTTATCAAAGAAAATACAAAGGATCTGCGGTCCATATAACATCAGGACAGCCTAAAAAAGCAGGACGACACTTCACAGATATCCCTCCCGAGTAAGACCCCCCCCCATAGAAGAGAACATGACTAAAGGCTGTGTGTACGCTATCCTGGGCAGCTGCGAAAAGAAATATAAAGGGTAGACAGGCCGCCTCCTTAAGGTAAGGCTTAAAGAACACCAGAAAGCTGCAACATTAGAGGAATTGGAAAAATCAGGCGTGGCTGACCACATATGGAAAGAAAAGGGAGATCACCGCCCTCTGTGGGATCAGGCTGAGATCATTGACAAGGAACATCATTGGAAAATTCGTAAACTTAAGGTATTAGCACATATGCTACGCCACAAAAATCTCATGAGCCGGCCAAGCATAGAAATGAATACATTATGGGAACTAGTAATAAGGAGTGCCAGAGAAAAGCAATAACAACAACAACAACAATAGCAATATGAGCTCTGGTAAAAACAATGCAATGATAACAGCAAAAATTGCAATATGAGCACTGGTAAAAATGATTGCTGAAGACATTAAGTTTATAATACCCAGAAATTCATACCCAGAAATTCATACACAGATGTCCTCAAAGGCGTTAGTTAGATCCAGTGACAGGACCCAAAGAGTGTGAGTTCAATACCTGATTAAGGCAGTGGAGAACTTTCAGAGGGAAATTAACAGGAGATAACAGATAACTGACATCCGTTAAATATGGCACGTGGAACTAGAACACTAGAAAAGGGTTCAGTTAGACATTCCAACCACTGAAGAAGCACGGAGCGTACAACGGCCGAAACGTTCTAATAAATATGACAACAAAGATGAGGACAATAGTCCGAATAATGTAAATATTGTACATAATTCCTCATCTTAGAAATATACTATGATACCATAGCGCAGAAAAATGTCATTTAGTAGAAACTAAAAATT